TTTATTCTCGAAGAGGTAGGCAGAGGTACACACTATGCCACTGTACAATGTAACACCCACTTTTCACTATTTATGTTATGAGTCCCATGCAATAGGGAGTGAGCCTATTGCTATATACCGGGCACAATTCCAGACTCCGTGAATCGAACCCGAGACCCCTTGCCCGGCAGTCGCACTCGCGACCACTCGACCAACGAGGCAGATATGTGTATAATATTGGAATATGAATCAGAGCATGCAATATGCTCACCCCCTATACATGGGACTCATAACATAAATAGTGAATAGTGGGTGTTACATTGTACAGTGGCAAAATGTGCACCTCTGCCTACCCCTTCGGGGATAAAAGGCGTGATGATATGTTATGTATCACAGCATTGCAAAACTGACTTTTTTAAAAAGAGTAACGAATGGAGTTTCTTGCTTGTTCTTCTCCATTCGAATCTACATTTTGGAATGAGCGCCTAGCTTCACCTAGCTTCACTGACTGACAGACTGACGGATTATTATTTATTTTGTGTATTTGTTGACATTTCAAAACTTGGGGGCCGTTCAAATATTACGTAAGCAGATTTTTTACAATGATTCCCCCCCCCCCCATCCCCCTTGTCAGCAAAAGTATGCAAAGATCTTACCCCCTCCCCCTTTGCTTACGTAAACAATTTAAATTATATCTTTTTTTGTATTGTAATTTTAATATTCTCCAAATACCATAATGTCTTGTTCTTTGTCGGTCTTTGCTTTTAATTTATAATTTCAATTTGAGGGTTGCCATTCGTGTAAAAAAGTAAATAACTACCGATGACATCATCATCTAGACTCCCCTACTCCCCATATCATCCGAAATAATCAAAACAGAGAAATGGTGCTTACGTAATACTTGAACGGCACCTAAGTACCAAATTATGGTATCGAACCCGAGACCCCTTGCCTGGTAGTCACACTTGCGACCACTTGGTTAACGAGGCAGTCGCAATTTCTAATCATAAGTTTGAAATCGCCAACCCGCATTGAGTATGCGTGATGATTAACCCCTTATCTGCCGGTATATGAGACACAATAAAAAACAATTGTGTCTGGCGTATATGTACGTCCCCGGCATACCAGGGGTTAATGCTCAAATCTTCTCCGTGTGAGAAGAGGCCTTTGGTCAGCAGTGGCCACTTTTTACGAGCAGACGGATCACCTGATGGTAAGCAATCGGCGCCGCCCACTTGGAACACCAAGGCGTTACAAGTGCGTTACCGGCCTTTTGGGAATTGTGAATTTGATGATTGTGGAGGATTCAGGGATTCGGGAGGCGGGGACTAGGGACTAGGGTAATTGGGCCTCCGGTAACCTCACTCACACGACGAAACACAATGCAAGCGTTGCTTCACGTCGGTTTTCTGTGAGGTCGTGGTATCACTCCGGTCGAGCCGGCCCCTTCGTGCCGAAGCATGGCTCTCCCACACTTAAACTTGTAGGCTGTTGATGTATAATATTATGTCGTTTTCAGATCTCGTCAAACGCGATCCCGCAACAAACTCAGCTAAACGTAAAGCGCTAGACAGTACTCCAATACTGGACATCGTAGACTCTGCTAGCTCCCTAGATGAAGACATCGTGAAGATGGTCTCTGATGGCATGTTCGACCGTGACCTGATGGTGGCCAGGGAGGTCTGTGAGGGAGTGGAGGAGTGCTTGTCCGATGATTTGAGTATGAGGTAAGATTACTATATTTTGAACCGATTTCCAAAAAAAGAAGTTATATTAAGTCAAACGTATATTATACTAGCTACTTCCACGCGGTTTCACTCGCTCTGCTCGGCGCCTTTTAATCGTAGCGTGATATTTTATAGCCTATAGCCTTCTTCGATAAATGGGCTATCCAACACAGAAAGAATTTTTCAAATCGGACCAGTAGTTTCGGAGATTAGCGCGTTCAAACAAACAAACAAAAAAACAAAGTCTTCAGCTTTATAATATTAGTATAGATTATACGCTATGTTAACTATAGTTAGACATACTAAATTAACTAAAAATCGCGGGTTACTTACGTGAATATACTGAGAAAAGCTCTAATAGTACAGTAGGCTGCGCGACGTCGCCGCGACTGCGCACGCTGCTCACGAGGAAGAACCCCTCTGTGGTTCGAAACTAGTAGAGCTTTTCTCAGTATATTCCCGTTAGTCAGAGTTACTCGTTCTTCTTCATATGAATCTATATTTTAGGACGAGCACCTAACTTTACTGATGGACAGATTGACTAACAACTTTAATATAATAATTTATGCAATACCCACCTCCTTCGAGTAACAAAAAGCTTAATTGATTAAAAATCGCGGGCTACTCACGTGAATATACTGAGAGGTTCTACTAGTTTCGAACCACAGAGGGGTTCTTCCTCATGAGCAGCGTGCGCGCGGTCGCGATGTCTACAGCCTACTGACTGGCTATCGTTGGCGCTCGCATGTTGCTACTCGCGCATTGAGCCCGCCGCGCCCTCTGTCGGACACTACGAGCGGTTGCTTCCAACTCCGGCGGCGCGCTGGACGATGTTGACGCGTACGGTACGTGCATCAGTGGCCAGTTGCAGTCATCGTCAACAGCCTATAAATGCCCACTGCTGAGCAAAGCCTCTTCTCACACGGAGAAGGTTTGAGCATTAATCACCACGCTTGCTCAATGCGGGTTAGCGATTACAAACATATAATTAGAAATTTAAGCCCAGTTTTCCTCACGATGTTTTCCTTCACCGTTTGTCAGTGGTGTCCAAATAATCTTAGAAAGTACATATAACTCTGAAAAAGTTACATTGGTACTTGCCGTTGGTAGGTTTCGAGCCCGCATGCATGAGAAGCGGGCGTCTTAAACCTCCGGGCCACCACGGCCGGCCAGTTGCAGTGGTGGGAACCAAACGCGCAATTAGTTAATTTAGTATGTCTCACGATAGATAGTCAGTCGATCTCATCGTTAAATAAAATTGACGTGTAAAAGTGCCTTGTAAGTCTATTTGCAGAAATAAATTCACTTGTTTCTTATATATTCACAGATTCGCTGAACTATTCTATATAATAGTATACCAACGTAGTTTGACTGACAACGACTCGCATTTGTCAAACTACGGCTCAAAGTTGATCGAGATGTTATTCAGTGGGCTAAGAAAAGAGGAATCCTTCATGCAATACAAGTTGAGGGATGAAGGGTTGCCACAAAGGTATGTATGTAGAATAAAACATTTATATTATTTTTTATCGAATAGGAGGCAAAAATGAGCAGATGGATCACCTGATGGTAAGCGATCAGCGTCGCTCATGAACACCTGAAGCACCAGAGAAGTCATCTTATTGGAATATACCGATAAACGAGCAGGCGTATCACCTGATGTTAAGCGATTAGCACCGCCCATGGACACCTGGAACACCGGACGTTTGACAAGTGCGTTATCGGCCTTTTGGGGATTAGGAATTTGAGGATTATTGGGGATTCAGGGATTAGGGAGATTGGGGAGGTAACCTCATACACACGACGAAACACAACGCACGCGTTGTTTCACGTCGGTTTTCTACTCGGCCGTGGTAATACTCCGGTCAAGTCGGTTCTTTGGTATCGAAGCATGGCTCTCACACACTTTAAACAATTACTGAAATGATTTTTCAGCATCCTGAAAGCTTTTGAAAGTACTACCACTCATACTATGACTGTGAGAACGTCACTTAGATCCGGTGTTGCATACAGACACAAAGAAAATACAGGTAAGATATAATAATATATAAATACAGATAAGTATATACTTTTTATGGCCTATATCATCAAACGAGCAGACGGATCACCTGATGGTAAGCAATCAGCGCCGTACGTAGACACCCCACCCCCCTAGAGGAGTTAAAACTTTAAAAGTGCGTTGCCAACCTTTTAAGTATTAGAGATTAAAGATTAAGGGTTGGGATTATATATTATGTATTGGGGATTAAATATTAGAATTGGTGATTAAAGATTCGTATTGGGGATGCAATATTAGGTATTGGGGAATAGAGATTAGGTAATGGGGATTAAACTGTCAAACACCAAGCGGTCACCAGTGACCGCAACCTATTGTTCTATAATTGTGTCTACAAAACCGGTACTCGACGAGTTAAAGAATGGTATTTGAAATTAAAGCTTAGGTATTGGGGATTAAAGATTCGTAATAGGAATTAAAATTAGGTATTGGGTTTAAAAATTACGTATCGAAGGTTAAAGATTGGGGATTAACGACTATGTATTGGGGATTAAAGATTGGGAATAAAACATCACGCTACGACCAATAGGAGCTGAGCAGAGCGTGTGAAACCGCGCGAAAGTAGCTAGTTAAGTATAAATCATAACGTCTGTTTTTTTTTTTCAGCTCCTGAAAAACGAGAGTTAGACTTGCAAATGCCTATTACAGATATTTTAGAAGTTCTCATTAAAGTGTCTAAGGTAAGAATTGGTTGTATTCTTTTTTTTACTGTAAAGTCAAAGTATATTTATGCCTGTATATACAACTAGCAGCCTGTTCCGGCTTCGCACGGGGTAGACAATTATTTATTTTTGGTAATTTGGATTGTTGTAGTGACATAACTACAACAATCCGAGTGCGAGCCGATGCGAGTGACAGAGAGCGCGGTGGTTGCCTTTGTTGTTTGTCGTGAGGCGATCCGCTCGCGCGCGCGTGCATTGCAGTTTATGCTGTATTACTTAGTCCGAGAGATTATTTTACTATGAATATTGATTTGACGTCACATTTTAGAAGAGAAACTATCGTTTCTCATGCTTTCGAGTTGATGATTATTTTTTTGAGTAGATGAGGAGAAAAAAAAATATTTTTTCAAAAAGTAACTTGCATTATTCGATAGTACTACTAAAGGGAAATCGTTCTGCTGCGGGAAAACAACCATTAATATGTCAGCGTGTATATGGACATATGCTACCGCGGAGTTTTTTATAGACATTGATGTTCTTCAATATTGTTCTACATTATTTTGTTGTATCGCTAATAGTTTCGCCAGCGCATTCGACGAAAGATATTTTAAGACTCATTTTTCTACACCTTCGGTTAGATTGTTCAAATTTTACCAAGGATCCCTGATTTTTTCAAAATGAAATGTAGCTTATGTCAAATTAGAAGAATGTAGCATTCTATTGGTGAAAGAATTTTTTAAATCGGCCCAGTACTTATTGAGCCTATTCATTACAAACATACAAAAATAGGTACAAATCTTTCTTGTTTATAATATTAGTATAGATTATCTAAGTAAGTATATATAGTTATTTATTATTCATATTTTACTTAGTCACCTGCCACTTTCATCTCTGCACCACCTTAAGGTCGACTGTGAGACAATGGCCAAGGCATTAAGTCCATATGTTTTTGTACTAAGTCTAGATAAATAAATAAATAAATAATTTCTTTCAGGGACTGAAAATGTTGTATCACTACATAGTATAAAACAAAGTCGCTATCCGCCGTCTATCTGTTCCTATGTATGCTTAGATCTTTAAAACTACGCAACGGATTTTGATGCGGCTTTTTTAATAGATAGAGTGATTCTTAAGGAAGGTTTATATGTATAACTAGCTTTTACCCGCGGCTTCGCTCTCGTCACAAAAGGATAAAAAGTAGCCTATATGACATATACCAATACACACAGCGCCATCTATATCAATAATTTTGTTTTCCCTCGGGAATATCATTTTTTTCCGGGATAAAAAGACATTACCCTATTATTTAATCCAGACTAGAAGTCTGGATTAAATAATACTTTACGTCTGCAAAAATTCAAAGCAATCGGTTCAGTAGTTACGGCGTGAAAGCGGAACAAACAAACAAACAAACTCACTTTCTAATTTATAATATTAAGTAAAGATACATGCATATTGCACCTGCGCGAAGCCGGGGCGGGTTGCTAGTTATTTATAAATAATTAATCTTGCATTATCTAGTTAGTAATGAGTCATCAAATCAATAAGTGCAAGAGTTCTGATTATTATATCGACGACATAGTTTCCTCTAACATTTTTATCAACAATGCAACGTTTAGGTTTTTTTTGTTTCAATTTTCTTACATTTATCACCACGTCTTCTCTTCCTGCGGGTATTGTCCTAAGACCCGGAACAACAATCTGTGGATCACACAAAGAGTTGTTCCGTGCGGGAATCGAACCCGCGACACGTTGCGCGGCAGTCAGTTGCCCAACCATCGCGCCAACCGTGCACTCAATATTAAATTATATGTCCTTATTGTCAATTTCTACTAATTTAATTAAAAAGGTTTGTCTCAGTTTTTGTCAAAGTCTCTGAAGTGTGTGTTGAAGTGTATAATTAAATGTTTTGTTTTCATTTTACTATGATATAGGTACATTTCTTTTTTTTGTCATCTACTATTGTAATTGTCTGATTTTTCCTTATGTTTTTTGATTGAATTTTAATTGTATTTTTTTACTGTAATGTTTATTTATGTGTTTAATTTTTTTTTCTCTTCTTTTCTGTTATTGTAACTGTTTGATTCTCTTTGATTTCTCTTTGTATGTGTGTTAATGTAATTGGTGTAAAGCCGTGTTAACATGACAATAATAAATAAATTAATTAATTAATTAATGCCGGAATACTGAAACGTTACTCAATTTTAAGTCGTGCTCAAACATCGTGCCGTCTCTGTCATTTTACAAAGTATTTGTAGAGATAGAACTAAACTTAAGCACAACTTAAAATTGAGTAGCGTTTCAGTATTCCCACAGAAAGCGTGTTTTTTAATTATTTTAACTAAATTTTTTTCTTTTCAGATAAATTCGCTAATATGTCAGGAGTTATGTGTTCAAATAATGAAGTGCTTAGCTCAAACGGGTCGCAGGTTCAATTTAGACGCGGTTATAGCGAAGTATTTGTCTCATATCATAAAGAGGAAACCTATTTACCCTACTCCTCTAATTTTAGATGCTTGCAGAATATTTATAAGGGATATCAGCGGGATTGAAGGGTATGTGTTTACTTAATTTACAAACTGGTCATTCGCATGCGGTTTTACCCGGTGTTCGGCTTGTATTGATCGTATTAAGGTGAATGGATGATGATCTCAACTGCCATTTTGTCGCTAGATGGCGCAACATCCACTATTTGGAACATTTTCAATTTTTACGCCTAACTTAGAAATCTTTAATAGATAAATTTATTGTTCGCGAAACCTAAGGTATTCACTTGATGTTTTCAGATAGTCACTGTGCTTGTTAACTGGTCTCATACAAAGATTACTACAAAATAAATATGTTTTATAGCCTACAGCCATCATCGATAAACGAATTATCCAATTCAAAAAGAACTTTGATGAGACACTGATACACAATTATTATGTTATTGGCTTACTCACGGAACTGTTTGTTCGACTGACTTTGACTGCACGGTTGGTGCGGTGGCTGGGCAACCGGCTGCCGTGCAACGTGTCGCGGGTTCGATTCCCGCACGGAACAACACTTTGTGCGATCCATAAATTGTTGTTTCGGGTCTGGGTGTCATGTGTATGTGAACTTGTATGTTTGTAAACGCACCCACGACACAGGAGATAATCCTAGTGTGGGGCAACGTTTAAAAAAAAAAAAAGACTAGTTTCAAGCCATGCTAGAGGCTCATATTCATGAGCAGCATTCCGCGACCCGTGACGCGGCGACTGTGGCGCTGCTACTGACTACTCAAGTCTGACTTCTGTTCTGGCTTGAAACTAGTCGAGTTCCTCGTCAAACAGTTATGTGAGCAAGCATGCATGGAGTCTGAAATTGCTTTCGGTATATGGCAATAGGCTCACCCCTTATTACATGGGACTCATTAACATAAATAGTGAAAGTGAGTGTTACATTGTACAATGGCATTAACTGCCGTAATATGCACATCTGTCTATCCCTTCGGGGATATAGGGCTTGATGTTATGTGTGTTATGTTAAATTAAATATTATACATTTATTTTATAAACGATTTCTCCTTCAGAGAACAAAACGCGTATAAGTCACTAGCTACTTCCGCACGGTTTCACACGCTCTGCTCAGCTCCTATTGGTCGTAGCGTGATGTTTTATAGCCTATAGCCATCCTCGATAAATGTGCTATCTTAAACAAAAAGAATTATTCAAATCAGACTTGTAGTTACGGAGATTAGTGCGTTCAAACAAACAAAAAAACAAACTCTTCCGCTTTATATAACAGTACTAGCTACTTCCGCACGGTTTCCCACGCTCTGCTCAGCTCCTATTGGTCGTAGCGTGATATTTTATAGCCTATAGCCATCCTCGATAAATGCGCTATCCAACACAAAAAGAATTATTCAAATCAGACTTGTAGTTACTGAGATTAGCGCGTTCAAACAAACAAAAAAACTTCCGCTTTATATAATAGTACTAGCTTTTACCCGCGGTTTCGCTCGCGTCACAAAAAGATATAAAGTAGCCTATGTGACATATACCAATACACATAGCGGTATCTATACCAATAATTTAGTTTTCCCTCGAGAATATAATTTTTTCCCGGGATAATAAGTACCCTATTATTTAATCCGGACTTCTAACTTTACGTCTGCAAAATTTCAAAGTAATCCGTTTAGTAGTTACGGCGTGAAAGCGGAACAAACAAACAAACTCACTTTCCGATTTATAATATTAGTAAGGATAGTAAGGATAAGATAGATAAGGTCATATGTTTTTCAGGTTTTTAGACTCAGTGAAATCGTTGAAGCTAGCCGTGTGTAATAGCGAAGCATATTTATATACAAACATACTGTTCGAAGATCTACTCATACGGAATAATGATAAAAATTTATTCTTATTTAGGTAAGTAGTTACTTTTATACAAGCGTCTGTTAGCCGCTTCGCCCGCGTATCCGTAGGATAAAAAGGCTTTTTTTCAGCATAAGCCGGTAAACGAGCAGACGGATCACCTGATGGTAAGCAATCGGCGCCGCCTATAGACACCTGGAACTCTCCCACACTTAAAGCTGATGAGGACTTAACGGTTTACTGGGGCTCCGGGTCGACGTGCAGGAGTAGGAACGGGGTGGTTTTTAGTCAGTAAGAGTCTGACACTCCCTTCCGCCTCACCCAGGCGGGAGCAGTCATTCGAAAAAATAGACACCTGGAACACCAAGGCGGTACAAGTGCGTTACCGGCCTTTTGGGAATTGGAAATTTGAGATTCGGGAGACTAGGGAGGGAGGTAATTGGGCCTCCGGTAACCTCACTCATACGACGAAACACAACGCAAGCGTTGTTTCACGTCGGTCTTCTGCTCGGCCGTGGTATCACTCCGGTCCAGTCGACCCATTCGTGCCGAAGCATGGCTCTCCCACACTTAAATGCCTATGTTTTATTCCAGACTATAATCTACCTCTGTACCAAATTTCATACCGATCCCTTCAGCCATATTGACGTGTTTGAGTAACAATTATACACACATAATTTCACATTTATAATATTACTAGCGACTAGCGACCCGCCCCGGCTTCGTACGGGTGCAATATGCATGTATTATGCATATAAACCTTCCTTAAGAATCACTCTATCTATAATAAAAACCGCATCAAAATCCGTTGCGTAGTTTTAAAGATCTAAGCATACATAGGGACCGACAGACGGCGGATAGCGACTTTATTTTATACTATGTAGTGACTAGCGACCCGCCCCGGCTTCGCACGGGTGCAATATGTATGTATTATTCATATAAACCTTCCTTAAGAATCACTCTATCTATTAAAAAAAACCGCATCAAAATCCGTTGCGTAGTTTTTAAGATCTAAGCATACATAGGGACAGACTGACGGCGGATAGATACTTTGTTTTATACTATGTAGTGATTAACGACGTGATTGAGTTACAAACATACATAGAAAGTGTCGCCTTTTTTAATGTTAAGCATTAGAACGACTCAAGCTTGATCTCCTCGAGGGTGGAAGTTGGAAACCTGGGTGCTTACTCTTGAAACCAATCTCCAAGTCAATACAATTTCAATCCAATAAAATCTCAATAATTATTCAATGTCAAAACTATACAACCCCTACCGTAGCTGTTACAATAGCATTTAGAGTACGGAATGTAAAGCCAAACTTAACTCGTCGAGTACCGTCATTATAGACACAATTATAGAACAATAGGTTGCGGTCACCGGTGACCGCTTGGTGTTTGACAGTTTAAATACCGTTTAGTTCATTAAATACATATCGAAGCAATACGGATGCATGATGTTGCGACTCGAGAGTACGAGATTTCACAATATCAATGTCGATCTATAGGTATTGGATTCTATACTGAGAATAACCTAAGTGTTGCGAGTATTTTAAAACGGATGCAGATTCGATTTCCTGCTTGGGTTTTATGTAATTTTGTGAGGTAAATGAGTAATTTCATATACATCACACACATCAACAGCCTATATATGCCCACTGCTGAGCAAAGCCTCTTCTCACACAATCATTTGGGCATTAATCACCACGCTTACTCAATGCGGGTTGGCGATTACAAACTTATAATTAGAAATTATAACCCCAGGTTTCCTCACGATGTTTTCCTTCACCGTTTGTCAGTGGTCTCTAAATAATCTTAGAAAGTACATATAATTCGGAAAAAGTCACATTGGTACTTGCCGTTGGTAGGTTTCGAGCACGTACCCTCATGCATGAGAAGCCGGCGGGTCTTAAACCTCCGGGACATCATGACTTCATATGAATTTTCATTTTGATGTAATTTACAGTTCTGTAAACGAAGATTATGATGCTACCATGGATGAACAAGGATTTACAATGGAAGGTAAAAGAATATTGTTCTATTATTATCTATTTTTATACACAATATGGCACTTAACAGGTAGTCAAATTCAATACTTTTATTGAAATGTCAAAAACGATACTTTTCTATGAATTTTGTATTGGATCACAACTTGTGACGTCATCATATTTCTGCGTCAAATAACACACTTATTTCCTTAAAATTAGCGAGAAAACATCCAAAAGTAGGTAAATTGTCAAATCAATGGATGAGAGTATGATTATTTTTTGATTATTTATTGCATTGAAAAGTTGAAACAATTTATTTTAAACCTCGGAAACTAGCCAATTAAACTGTCAAACACCAAGCGGTCACCGGTGACCGCAATCTATTGTTCTATAATAGGGTAGACGACTAATTTTTATTTTAATGTCCGTCTGGTAGATTATTTAAAAACATTAGACACGTATTTTTTATTTTCTTACGGAAACGAATAGTTTCGAAGATATATTGATTTGAAATGTCGCGTGACGTCACTTCTCAGTACATTTTATACTAAGGAATGACGTTTTAACCCCCACTCCTAAACTTTGATTCGTTTTATCTAAGTATTGTTTTATTATACGACAAAATAAAAAAATACGTGTGTAATATTTTTTAATTACCTAACTTACGGACTAATTATATTTTTAATTGTCATACCCTGTCATCATCCCCATTGTGTCTACAAAACCGGTACTCGACGAGTTAATAGCATGAGTCAATTATCAAACTAACGTAATAGGGGGGGGTGACTAATTTTTATTTTAAACATATTTAGAAACATTAGACACGTATTTTTTATTTTCTTACGGAAACTTATAGTTTCGAATATAATTATATTGATTTCAAATATCGCGTGACTTTTGAGTACGATTTATACTCTAAAATGACGTAGCTACCTCCCACTCCTAAACTTTGATTCGTTTTATCTAAGTATTGTTTTCTTATACGGCTTTAAGTGCAATAATGTGCACCTCTGCCTACCCCTTCGAGGATAAAAGGCGTGATGTTATACATATATACATGTTATATGATTCGGGTTTTATATTTTTTTCAATACCAAAAGTCAGTTGAATCAAAAATTTTTCATTCTTATCTCTTTGTGTTAAAGTCTAAATCACTATATCAATATTTCAGGACTTATTCAGGCATTCGGTAGTCTAGCAAACTGGAATGACCTAAGGCTGCAGGATAAGAAACGTATTGAAGATACCCTCCCAAGGCTTTGGACCAGTAATGAAGATTTTACAGTATCTTTGAGAGACTATTTTGAAAATAATAAGAACAATTTAGGTGCGACTTACATTTTTTAATATTTCTACCGACTTGAAAAACATGAGGTTCTTAATTTGACCTGTGTGTATGTACACTTAAATCCACAACTATCCAGTGGACTTTTGTCATACCTGTGTGTATGACAAAAGTCCACTGCCACCGAGAGTGATGTTCACACGGCAATGCGTAAGTAATTTCATATTAATGTGCATAAAAACGCGTGCGTACGCACAAACACACGCACGCGTACGCACACGGATACAAATATGCGTATGTGTGATAGTAGTCTTACGGTGGCGGTGGACTTTTGACCTTTGACCGTATATACAATAGAGATGCACCGAATATTCGATTACTATCTGGTATAGGTCAGGCCGAATATTCAGCGGCCGGATACCGAATATTTGGCTGATGGCCAGTCCGAATATTCGGCGGCCGGATACCGAACATTTGGCTGATGATCAGGCCGAATATTCGGCGACCGGATATCGAATATTCGGCTGGTGGTCAGACCGAATATCCGGTATCCGGCCAAACAACTATTCGTTGCATCTCAAATATTTTTTTTTATGGCATAAGCCGGTAAACGATCACCTGATGGTAAGCAATCGGCGTCGCCCGACGCCCATGGACACCTGGAACACCAGAGGCGTTACAAGTGCTTTACCGGCCTTTTGTGGATTAGGAGTTTGAGATTCAGGGATTGGGGAGATTGGGGAAGGGGAATTAATTGGGCCTCCGGTAACCTCACACATAATCATATACATACTCACACAAAACATACGTTTTTTCGAACAGATCCCGGACTTTGGTTCAACAAAATGTTAGCCTCATACTATCCTGATGAGATCATTCAAAACAAATGGAGTTGGCTGAAACATATTGAGAAATGGCCGAGAAAAGACTTTGATACCAGCGCCGTAAGTATTGTTTTTGATTGGCAAATGTAATGCTTTCTTTATTGATGTTGATGTAGTTATTTGTTAAGTAAAATTAGTATTGGAGTTTTAATTTCGATTTTTACAGTAATGAAAACCATGAAATCTATCTCGTTCTCGTCCCGCGGCAAAACAACTTGCCATAAGGACTACTTTCGATGTATAAAGTAGAAACAAAAAAATAAACACATAATTCTTTAGATAAAAAAAAAATCATAGAGGTACGCACATGATACACTAGACGTAAATTCGTAGACACTATTCGCATCGCACGCGCCACCCGACGAGAAATACCTCTTCGAGAATTACATGGCGTGATGTTTTGATAAAGTACTATGAGTTCGTATGCGGTCGAAGTTTGCTTTTTGCAATGGTTCACAAGTTATTTTAGTTTTAAACATTTTATTTCTATGTAATAGGTACTATTGCATTATCAAGACAGAACTCTTTTACCTCGGAATGAAAACGAAATAGATGTCACGGTGTGTTGTAGAAATAGGCGGTCATCCAGAAATTACGACACATTCATTTCATGATCATGACTGCCTCGTTGGCCGATGGTTACAAGTGCGCACGTAGGCAAAGGCAGAATCTAGTTTTAATAGGAAATATATTTTTAGTTACCTGTTCCTCCACATTGTAAGTGTCTTTAGATGCGAAGTCCTGGAACACATCGTCCAATAACGCGATGTATTTATCTTTATTCTTAATTTCCGACTCTTCAAGACACTCTCTAGTTATTGTATAAGACACTGTTTCGCCTCGTAATATATTGTTTATGTATTTTATCTGAAAAAAATAACACCCCGATGTGAGAACTTCTTCCTTTTTGGGAAGTCGGTTAACAAGGACACAAATATATAGGTTTCTTGACTGCCTCGTTGGCCGAGTGGTCGCAAGTGCGACTGCCGGGCAAGGGGTCTCGGGTTCGATTCCCGGGTCGGGTAATCTAATACTGGGTTTTTTAAAAAAATCTCAGTAGTAGCACGGAGTCTGGAATTATGCCTAGTATATGGCAATAGGCTCACCCCCTCTTGCATGGGATTCATAACATAAATAGTGAAAAGTGGGTGTTACATGGTACAGTGGCATAATGTGCACCTATGCCTATCCCTTCGGGAATAAAAGGCGTGATGTTATGTTATGTCTCTTGTGTACTGTCAGTGAGTTGTGCATAAGTAAATAAAATTGGTTTCGGTACCGTTAACGATGCTTTTCATGATTATGGGCCCCTGTCGTGGCTTGAAGCGAGTCGAGTTACCTCGTCTAACGGTTACACATTTAATGTAATTAACGTCAAAAAAGGGGTTCTCATTTTGGCCAGTATGTATATCCTTACTAATATTATAAATCGGAAAGTGACTTTGTTTGTTTGGTCTGCTTTCACGCCGTAACTACTAAACCGATTGCTTTGAATTTTTACAGACGTAAAGTTAGAAGTCTGGATTAAATAATAGGGTACTTTTTATCCCGGAAAAATTTGATATTCTCAAGGGAAAACGAAATTATTGGTATAGATGGCGCTGGGTGATACACCGATTTATAATATTAGTAAGGATTTATTATTTTTATTTACAGATCATAGAAGCGATAGAATGGCATGAGAATAACGCCAAAATGTTTGGCTCTATCAGTCGCAATGATTGCCTGGTGGAATGGTCAGCTCGACTGATGATCAGGTAAAGGCTAAGTTATGTTAAAACCTTTTTTTGATGACGGGGGGAACCTTCAGAAGGCACCTAGCTTGTGGATAAAAGACTAGGGAGTGTCACTCACTAAACCCCACCCCGGTGGCCACCCTCAACACCTGTATGGAGGCACCGGGACCTCTAAAAAAGTTTAAAAAATCTTAGTAGTAGCCCGGTGTTTGGAATAGTGCCCGGTATGTAGCAATAGGCTCACCCCCTATTACATGGGAGTCATAACATAAATAGTCAAAAGTGAGTGTTACATTGTACAGTGACATTAAGGGAGCAGTCATACGATGATTTTCCCCCCTTAAAAAAAAAAAATGCCTATCCCTTTGGGGACGTCGCGGAGAACCTAACGGTCGCGGAGAAACTAACGGGTAACCGGGGCTCCGACTCGACGTGCAGGAGAAGGAACGGGGTGGTTTTTAGTCATTAAGAGTCTGACACTCCCTCCCGCCTTACCCAGGCGGGAGCAGTCATTCGATGATTTTCCCCCCTTAAAAAAAATCCCTTTGGGGATAAAAGGCGTGATGTTATGTTATGTCAAAAAACCCCACACTATAATTGTCTCCTGTGTCGTGTGTTTACAAACATACAAGTTCACATACACATCACACACAGACCCGGAACTACAATCTGTGGATCACACACAAAGTTGTTCCGTGCAGGAAACAAATCCGTGGACAAGTTGCACAGTCAAGTCACCATACCTTTAGAGTCTTTAAAATCATATTAATTTACACACACATACGTCAACAGCCTATATGCTGCTGAGCAAAGCCTCTTCTCACGCGGAGTGGGTTTGAGCATTAATCACCACGTCTGCTCCGCATTGAGCAGGCGTATAGGTTAACGATTTCAAACTTATGATTAGAAATTATAAGCCCTGTGCCTTTAGCCAAACGCCACTTTAGTGCTTGTCTACAGAGAGAGTAGAAAACTAAATGTATGGGGATGACACTGACAAGTGTCAAAATTTACGTCAATTCCATATAATTTGGTTTTCTATTCTACATATAGACAAGCGCCAAATGGCATTTGGCTACAGCTCCAGGTTTCCTCACGATGTTTTCCTTCACCGTTTGTCAGTGGTGTCTAAATAATCTTAGAAAGTACATATAGCTCGCAAAAAGTTACATTGGTACTTGCCGTTGGTAGGTTTCGAGCCCGCACTCTCATGCATGAGAAGCGGGCGTCTTAAACCTCCGGGCCACCACGATAAATTAATTCGTAATCCACATTTCAGATGGTCATACTACAACCAAGTACAGGACTCAGGCAGTGACTATCCAGGAACCCTCTCTAAACAAGAACTGCTATGGTGCAGGGAGGCCAATGAAAGAGGTCTACCCTCCATAGCTCTACAGTGCATCGACAGGAATAAACAGTACGTATATAAAAAAACCATTTATTACGCCACGACACACATGGAGAAAACAATATAAGAATACATAAAAAGCATTTCATGTCGTATTGGAGACTCGGTTGCCAAAGAAGAAAAAAAAAAAAGAATTTCATGGTGCGTCGCAGCGCAAAAGCTCAGCTTAATGGCTCAAGCACGAAGACTCGAGTCCACAGTGCTGATTTTCATACCACCCAAACTCAAACTCAAACTCAAAAGCATTTATTTCAATTAACTCGTCGAGTACCGTCATTATAGACACAATTATAGAACAATAGGTTGAGGTCACCGGTGACCGCTTAGTGTTTGACAGTTTAAACCATAATTTGGTACTTTTGAAACGTCAACAAATATGAAATAAATAATAGTCTGTCAGTCTGTCCGTCAGTGAAGCTAGCTCGTTCCAAAATGTCGATTCAAGTGGAGAAGAACGAGCAAGAAACTCCATTCGTTACTCTTTTAAAAAAATTATAATTTACACTGCTCTGATACATATTCCAATATTGTACACACATGTGAGAATAATGTAAAGACATACCTGACGCAACATACAAATAACAGAACGTACTAAAATAAAAAAACAAAACCAAGAGAAAACAAATATCTTAAGTCTAACATGGTGTCGCGGAGAACCTAACGGACGCGGAGAACCTAACGGGTAACCGGGGCTCCGGCTCGACGTGTAGTAGAAGGAACGGGGTGGTTTTTAGTCAGTAAGAGTCTGACACTCCCTCCCGCCTCACCCAGGCGGGAGCAGTCATTCGATGATTTTCTCCCGTTAAAAAAATGTCTGACATGGTCCTCACATATGTAGAGGTATACTGACAATCCATATAAAATAGTGCTTCTATACAAGAAAAAAAGTATTTCATATTAAATATTTCATTCCACCCTGTTTAATACCACACCTCCACCCACCAGACGGCGCCAGCGTGGACCTCTTGATCTTCGTCCTATAGGCAATAAGCTAAACTATAATAATAAACTATCAAGCCATGGGACGCTCAATATTTGACAGCTACCGTGATTGTACAAAAAAATCCTTAACTAACTACTTTTTTTAAAAACCCAGTAATAGTTTTCCCGATCCGGGAATCGAATCCGAAACCCCTTGCCTAACAGTCACTCTTGCGACCACTCGGCCAACGATGCAGTCTGTACACCTGCAATTGAGTACTCGCCAACTAGTCAAATTCAATACTTTTTTTCGAACTGTCAAAAACGACAGTTTTCTATGAATTTTGTACGAGATTGTGTATTGTGACGTCACGTTTTTTTAGCGTCAAACAGCGTAGGTACTTATTTCTTAAAAATTTGCTGGATAAATACTAAAATTAATTTAGTCATAAAATTAAATAATGAAAGTGTGATTATTTTTTAATATTTTATTGTATTGAACAGTCGAAATAATTTGTTGTTGATAAAGAAAAGTACCCAATTCTCGCTAGCTAATAATAGCTCGATTTGTATTTGACCGGAATATTCTAGGATGCACTCACTAAAAAAAGTTGATAGCATTCATTCATAATATTATTACAATGTTCCAAATCACCAAAATGATTCATGTGTACGATAAAACAATTAAATATTAAATACAGTGGACATGTAATCACAATTATCTGTTTGACAATCATAAACAAATTGACACACGCCGCCATTATCTATGTTTGATGACAAATTAAATAAGTTGTCAAATTAGGTGTAATGGTGTAGGTTTTGTGTTGCAATTAGGTTTTGTGTTCCAAAGGACATTTTTAATCGGGTACTCGCCAACTAGTCAAATTCAATACTTTTTTCGAACTGTCAAAAACGACAGCTTTTTTTGAATTTTGTACGAGATTGTGTATTGTGACGTCACGTTTTTTTACGTCAAACAGCATACTTATTTTTTAAAAATTTGCTGGAAAAATACTAAAATTAAGTTGGTCATAAAATCAATTGATGAAAGTGTGATTATTTTTTAATATTTTATTATATTGAACAGTCTAAATAATTTATGTTTGATTAAAGAAAATACCTAATTGTAACACAAAACCTAAACAATGCAACGTTGATAGGTAAATAAATAAGAAACTATGTCATCAATAACAATTATAATCAGAACACTTGCATTAATGACTAATGTAATCGATGACTCGTCAACGGCGAGTTCCAGTAACCTATCTATCGGAGGCCTTAGTACGTTTTTTATTTTTCACGTTTAGAGTAATCGAAATGACGTACGGCTCCAGTGAACCAACCTCTCGTGTAGGAGAGCCATGCTTCGGTACGAATGGGCCGGCTCGACCGGAGTGATACCACGGCCGAGCAGAAAACAGACGTGAAACAACGCTTGCGTTGTGTTTCGTAATTGTTATTTCGTAAAACGTCATTTCTACGTATAAAATGTACATAGAAGTGACGTCACGCGACATTTCAAATCAATATATCGTCGAAATTATTCGTTTCTGTAAGTAAATAAAAAATACGTGTCTAATGATTTAAAATAATCTACCAGACTGACGTTAGAATAAAAATTAGGCATCTACCCTATTACACCCCCTTCCTGACGACAGATTGATCTGATATTTGGTACACACTCCTTGATGACCATACAATATTATCTAAATCTTTCTACAACTACCTCCATTATGGATATTAAACGATAGGGCTTGATTAGTAGAACAACTCATTGGAACCGTTTAAGATAAAAAATATTTGAAAGAAAGAAGAAGAAAAAAGCATTTATTCGACAAAGAATGTGTGCCACAGATACAAAGTAAATTAAAATTAAAAAAAATAAAATACAGATATTTGGTATAACAAAAATAGTGCACAATATTTTAGTAGGTCAATTAGTATGTGATAAACATCATTTTTTTATGAAAAAATTTTATGAAAACTTATCAATTATTTTTAATAATTAAATTATTCATTTATTATTTTCATTGCTTTTTATGCCATCCTGCAATATGTACCTATTCCTATGTACCTATTCGAAAAGCTCGGTCGTTGACCCGTAAGATAAACGTCCGCGCGCATCCATACGGCTGGCGTCATGCGTAAAAACACAACAACAATTTTGCAAATGTGATGCTAAATTTAATTAAACATTTTGTTGTTTACATTTTTTTTTAGGTAAATATAATCCTTATCATGTACTATATCACCTGTTAAAATATTGTGCACTATTTTTGTTAGACCTTATATACAATAGAAAATAGTAAAATAAACTTAAAAGGGTAAAGATAAAAAGAAAACAACAACTAATAATAACAAAATATGAACAATACAATAAAAACAGAGAAAGTTAAAAGTACTATTATTATTAAAAAAAAAGTACTATTAAAAAAAAGAAAAAATGCTAAAATAACATCGATTGCCTCATCATGCCAAAAGGGCATTTCTAAGCATTACTTGTTTAATATTTCAGGAATAACATACCTCAAGACGAGATCCTACCCTGGTTCCTAGAAAAGGTGAAGGCGTATAGGGGTCTAGGTCTTAAACAGAATGACCTAGGTATGCTACAGAAGGCGTTAGATGCTGCAGGTAATGTATTAATATATTTCGTGTATTTGTTCTCGCAGGCCGAGTGGTCGCAATTGCGACTGCCGGGCAAGGGGTCTCGGGTTCGATTCCTGGGTCGGGCAAAGTATTACTTGGTTTTTAAAAATCTCAGTAGTAGCACGTAGTCTGGAAATGTGCCCGGTATATGGCAATAGGCTCACCCCCTATTACATGGGACTCGTAACATAAATAGTGAAAAGTGAGTGTTACATTGTACAGTGGTATTAAGTGCCGTAATGTGCACCTCTGCCTATCCCTTCGGGGATAAAAAGGCGGGATGTTATGTTATGTGTCTGTTCTCGCTTTTGTGTGATAAGATTAAGGTGTGGGTTAGTCAAAGTATTATTGGGTGAGAAATTGTGTCCGGTGTCCTGATGAAATCGATTTTTTTTTACCGACTTTTCTTCTTCTAGAAAGAAATGATGTTCTCACTCTCGGTATGACTTGTATGTATGTTTGTATGTTTGTGCGTGATTGGCTGAACCGACTTTGATGCGGTTCAGAAAAGTGTTTGTTACGCTTATAAAAAAGTTTTAATATGTATATTAATTAAACGATTTTAAAGGAAGAGGGGGGGGGCTTGAATTGGGCCTCCGGTAACCTCACTCACACGACTAAACACAACGCAAGCGTTGCTTCACGTCGGTTTTCTGCTCGGCCGTGGTATCACTCCGGTCAAGCCAGCCCATTCGTGCCGAAGCATGGCTCTCCCACACTTGAATAATATTGAATAACCGTGCTGTATTATTTTGACTATAATTACATATTTTTTTACAGAGACACACAGTCAAGTAGTCTCCTCGCATTCTTCAATGGAAACAAGGATAAATATGCAGAAGGTCATATTAGATCTACATCATGATTTGAATTGTAAGTATTTTGTAACTACTTTTTACGGCTTCGCCAAAGGAAATAATGCAACCTATATGATTACGCCTCAAAGAGCCATCAGACCACCACAGATGGGGCCCAATAGGGCCGATGGCGATTCGGAGTCGCGGAGAACCTAACGGGTAACCGGGGCTCCGGCTCGAAGTGCAGGAGAAGGAACGGGGTGGTTTTTAGTCAGTAAGAGTCTGACACTCCCTCCCGCCTCACCCAGGCGGGAGAAACATTCGATGATTTTCCCCCCTTCAAAAACAACGTCACTCCCGCCTTCTAAATATAGAAAAGGATGACATCTTATTCGTAAAGAATAGCTATCCACCTACCAATGATAACTAACAACATTTCAAGGAAAGTCGATTCACTTTTATCTATTTCACTGCCCAGTCCCCATCACAAGTGGTTACCGGCTACCGCTCACCACTTACTTAATTACAGACCAGCACAGCTGCTGGTCAAATAACTAAAATTTATGGAATTGACGTAAATTTTGACACTTGTCAGTGTCATCCCCATACATTTAGTTTTCTACTCTCTCTGTAGACACGCGCTTAGGTGGCGTTTGGCTAAAGGCACTGGTTCGAAGCTATCTCCCTTCCAATTTTCAGTTAAATCTGTTCAGCCGTTCTAGAGTTACAATTACTAACACGATTTTCTTTTATAAATATAGATTTTTATCTTTTTACAGCGCTCTCAAAAATGACTTTAGACGATGTCTTACATGAAGTGAGTGCCAAAATTCAGGACAGTAATGATTCGCAATTGTCATATAACAGTGGGTCAGCTTTAAAATCAATATACGACACTGCGCTAACTTATTACGACGATATGTGGACTGACAGTGGTAAGTAAATACAATAAATATTAAATTAACTAAATATAGCGCAGCCTACTGATATCGCCGTGATCGCTCACGCTACTCATTAGCAAGATTCCGTCTGTGGATTATTATGTTTTCGGCTTATTCACGTAATAATTTGACGAGGAACTCGACTAGTTTCAAGCCATGCTAGAGGCTCGTAATAGATAGTAGCAGCGCGACAGTCGCCGCGTCACGGGTCGCGAAATGCTGCTCATGAATGAGCCTCTAGCATGGCTTGAAACTAGTCGAGTTCCTCGTCAAATTATTACGTGAGTAAGCCGAAAACATAATAATTGATTTAATATATCTCACGAAAGTTACAATACATTCCCTCTGTGGTTCGAAACTAGTAGAGCTTTTCTCAATATATTCACATGCTTAATCCGCGATTTTAGTTAATTTACTATGTCTCACGATAGTTGTATTTATTTTATACTATCTTCTACCATTTCTGTGAGATAGAAAGTAGCCTACGTGTTATTCTAGACCATAATCTACCCCTGTGCCAAATTTCATCCCGATCTATTCAGCCGTTTTGATGTTATTGTGTAACATAAACATACACACAGCGACTGCCGGGCAAGGGGTCCCGGATTCGATTCCCGGGTCGGGCAAAGTATTTTTTTTTATAAGATAAGCCGGTAAACTGGCAGACGGATCGCCTGATGGTAAGCAATCAGCGTCGCCCATGGACACCTGGAACACCAGAGGCGTTACATGTGCGTTACCGGCCATTTGGGGATTAGGAGTTTGGGGATTGTGGGGGATTCGGGAATTGGGGAGACTGGGGAAGGGAGAAAGTACTACTGGGTTTTCTAAAAATTCTCAGCTGTAGCACGAAATCTGGAATTGTGCCTGGTATATGGCAATAGGCAATTTTTTATTTTTTCAATTGTGTTCTGGCTTCGCATCAACCACTTCATTTCTCTGCACTTCCCTATGGTTGACTGTAAGAGAATGCCTTAAGGCATTAAGTCCGCCATTCACTGTTGTATTTTGTGAATAAGTAATAAATAAATAAATAGGCTCACCCCCTATTACATGGGACTCATAACATAAATAGTGTAAAGTGGGTGTTACATTGTACAGTGGCAATAAGTGCCGTAATGTGCACCTCGATTTTATGTTACGTTTAACATCTTACATTTTTAATTTACAGGTGAAATATTCCAAAACGAATTAATATTAGCTATGACTGGTATAATAGATAAGGTGTTGGATTATAATTTGACCAGAGACTGCAATCTCTTGTTGGCGACACCATTTAATCGACTCGCACACTCTGACGTCACTATAAGCGATGTCGCTGCTAAGGCTTTGTTGGATCAGGTATGTACTTCAAGTATACTCTAAGTATAGTTTAAATGAAAGAAATAAATTTTTTTAGTATGTGAGTAAGCCGAAAACATAATAATTTATTTAGTATGTCTCACGAAAGCTACAATACAAATGTTTCAGAGATATTTTAAAACAGACTTTTTTTAAAAGAGTAACGAATGGAGTTTCTTGCTCGTTCTTCTCCACTCGTAACTACATTTTGGAATAAGCACCTAGCTTCACTGACGGACAGACTGACAGACTATTATTTATTTTATATTTGTTGACGTTTCATAAATACCAAACTATGGTTTGAGGGCACAAAACACATAACGCCGTTGCGGAGCCGCGCCGCTAAAATCGACAGTAGCGTCACCGCCGATTTAAGCGGCGCCGCGCCGCAACGCAGCGCTCGTTCCAGAATAGCAGAGTAATGTCTTCTTAATAACAAATAAGCAATAAGTTTTTCACGATGGTCCACGGCAGAGACACGTCTATCCACAATAAGAAATCACGACGTACTGGTTACCCTACCGAACGATAATAACGGACATTTTCTATAGCCTATCTATCTGTAGATTTGCTTAGTGAGATATAATTTTGACATAAGCTCCATACAAAATGGCCGCTCTTTTCACGACGCCGCGCCGCAACGCCGCAACGCAAACTGGCGATTTTAGCGTTGCGCCGACGCAACGCGGTTATGATTTTCGGCCCTAAGTGTTATTCTAGACCATAATCTATGCTTTTTCCCTTTTGTTGTCAGACAGGCACCGACTTCAAAAAATACCTATAGTCAGAATTTTAATTAGATTCCAGATTTGACAATAGCTACTGTCATTTTGTGAAATAATGATACCACATATAATAGTGTAGTGATGAACACAAAAATCGATAAACAATCAGTGTGTGTGTTTTATAATAAATGTTACAGAAAGTGACAGGATAGCGATAGCGATGACGGCGACAATTTATAAAATAACTTATTACCATAATACATCTATCTGTTTTATTTGTCATGTTCCTTCATGATTACATTTTTTTATTTATTTCACACACAATTATAAAAGAAAAGTCTCAGATCGTTAAGTAATCGTCAAAACTAAATTATCGGTCAGAAATATTTAATTTCCTGATATCCTTATTTTACGAGAGTAAAATTATAAACGAGAAGAATCGATCCAGAAATATTGCTTTTCCATATCGAATAATTTCGCAACGTCACTATTTAGTACTTGTCATAACGTTGCAACACTGAAAATGTCAAATCTGGAATTGAATTAAAATTCCGAGTATAGTTGGTATATCAAAGTTAGTTTATTTGAGACAGAAGATATTGGTTTTATTTTTTAATATTCAGTTCTCAATGGATGTATCCAGTATCTTCTTTGTCTATTTTTTATAGCAGAGTAATGTCTTCTTAATAACAAATAAGCAATAAGTTTTTCGCGATGGTCCATGGCAGAGACACGTCTATCCACAATAAAAAATCACGACGACTTACCCTACCGAACGATAATCAAACGCTCTTTTTCACGACGCCGCAACGCAAACTGTCGATTTTAGCGTTGCGGCGACGCAAAGTGGTTATGTGTTTCGACCCTAATTGAAAGAAATGCTTTGAGTTGAGTTTGAATCTTCATTTTACAGATATACCGAGTTTTCCCGCGCCTAGATTTTTGCAGTATTGCCATACTGAAAAAAATAATGTCAGTGTTGCCAGCAACAGTGGTAAATGAGAATTATTTATCAAGATTGCAAGATGTTGAACTAGACACGTGCAAGCAATATTTTCAATTGATTTGTGATGTAAATTATGCGTTATCGCAATTTTGTGAGGATTTAAGACAAAATGGTAAGTAGTTGTCCATATTACACTATCTTCTGCCCTCGACTTCAAGTGAAACAAATGAAAGAGAGTGAAACAAATGAATTTATTTCTGCTAATAGGCTACAAGGCAGCACTTTTACACGTCAATTTTATCAAGCGAACGATGAGGTCGACATTTCCTAACTGACTACTCTGAGAAGAAATGCCGAAACAAACTCAGAGGTCTGTCTCTTTTAAAGTCCAGACAATATGTATAATAGATGAGAACCGTGCCAGTTCTTTCTGTAGTGGCCTTTTGAGGAAAGAACCACAACAGTTTGAGCGGACCCGCTCTGAAGGCAGTACGCATGTGTCGGTTTACAATCAGCTCAATTAACAGGTGAGGCTGACTGATTCGACGACCAATACCACCCTAAAGAACATTTGCGTGGGTCGCACAAATACTCAAACTGTAATCGTTCCCGCAATCCCGCTTTTTCCCGTTCTCGTAGAATTTCCGGTAAATCCTTAGATAAGAGGTCCTCCAGATCCTAAGTCCGTCTTTCTAAGCTGCACCTCCTCCACCACCTCCCCCAATTCGACTGCCTCGTTGGCTGAGTTGTAGCAAGTGCGACTGCCGGGCAAGGACTCTCGAATTCGATTCCAGGACTTCAAAAAAGGAGGTTTTCAATTTTACCTTTATCTATACGTATGTATGTCTGTGGGCGATAATCTCGCGATTGGCTCAACCGATTTTGATGCGGTTTTCAGAAAAGTGTTTGTTAGAGGACACTTAGGAAAAGACTTTAATTTTTTTATTTTCAAGTAATTGGGTAGTTTCCAGGGTATGAAAATTAAAAATGTAATTAGTCCGTCAGTTAGATAATGAACAAATATTAGACACGTATTTTTTTATTTTCTCGTATAAGTTGCAATACTTAGCCTTCAAGTACTGACGTGGTTTACTCATACCATAAACGGTGACGTGACGTATGTCAAACACCTTAATAAATAATCGAAATGGATTACTTGTATTTACTGATTTGCACAATATTTACTTGTATTCTGATCGGTCCATTATAATTCTATTAAAGAAAGTGCAAAAATTACAACATTCTCGGATGAAATCAGCGGTTTCTGATTCAAATTCTATAAACTTAAAATATATATATTTCGCATAACTTAAAAAAATATATGTTAAAATCTTAGCTACAATCCAATTATTTGGACGTTTTTTTGGAAAATTCTTATATTCGTGAACACGCCGTCTATGAGACACCCACGTCAGTAGTTAAAGGTTAGATAAAATGGCGCTAAGTTAGGAGTGGGTTGTTACGTCATAACGTGCTACAAAATGTGGCACGCTGTGACGTCACATGATATTGCAAATCAATATGTCGTCGAAAGTACTTAATTTTGTGAGAAAAGAAAAAATACGTGTCTAAAGTTTTAAATTAATGTACCAGACGGACATTAAAATAAAATTTAGGAAACTACCCTATTATCTTGTCTGCAAATAGGCATTTTATTTAAGGCATTGGCTGCCAATAAAAAACTGTTGAAGGCAAATCCTCCGCTAATGTCGGTCACCGGTGACTGCCATGGCGTTTAACGTGTTAATAATATTATTTAATTAAATAACATGGCTGACTATATATTAAACATTACATTCCAGTTTTCAACGACGAAGAATTTGAAATTATATTCAAAAAGATGAAAGATCAAATCTTTGAAAATCAATTCGGTGGTACTGACTACCAATCGTTGAGTACTTTGAAAAATAAACTTTATGCCTTGGAACATATGGATGATATTGGTATGTATGTCTTTTTGACTTTGTAGTCTTATTTTAAGGGGGGAAAATCATCGAATGACTGCTCCCGCCTGGGTGAGGCGGGAGGGAGTGTCAAACTCTTACTGACTAAAAACCACCCCGTTCCTTCTCCTGCACGTCGAGCCGGGGACCTGGTTACCCGTTAGGTTCTCCGCAACGACTTTGTAGTCTAGTACGACGTTCGAAGTGTAGTCAAGGTCAAGTATAAAGAAGCTTTAAGTCCGAAAAATTATTTTTTTAAAGTTTGTCCACACTTTAAAAAATTATTTAAAAGTAAAAATATTTGTAATTTTTTACAACTTGAAGATATATTAAAAACCGTAGCAACGGTCACCCATCAAACAACTAACCTCAACAATGGTAGCTTAACCTAAAAATTTCATTTTCAGATACAAAAGCACAAGAATTAAAACTAATAAGAGATGAATTGCTACCGAAAACATCGAGGACGACATTAAGGTTATCCCAATTGTGTCCGGACTTATGTTCGCCTCTAATTCTTGAAAGCAAAAGATTGCACTTACAAAGACTATTGCGACTACCCCCCAATGTACACGTCGTGAAGTTTATCGAACAAGTAAGTATATATATTTTAATCACTTCAAATATTATACCGAAAATCCCCATAATTTATTCAGACAAAAGTAGTCTCTAAACATCGGAAATAAGGTCTATAATGGGGTTTATAATATTTTTTTAGGGGGGAAAATCATCGAATGACTTCTCCCGCCTGGGTGAAACGGAAGGAAATGTCATCTCTTACTGACTAAAAACCACTATTTTTTTCTTCTCTTATAATATCTTCTGATTCACTTCGTTGCGGGAACCAAGACAGTTACTCATGTCCCTGGGTCGCACCGGACTTCAGTGTTCCAGTGTTTTCATGGTTGTATCTACTGTAGATCCTGGTGCACAGGAGTTGCAGCGGTTTTGGGAGGTTGTGGCGGGCTTGTCTCATAAAAAACATAAAAAATGACTAAAAACCACCCCGTTCCTACACTTGCCTTTCGAGCCGGAGCCCCGGCAACCCGTTAAGATCTCCGCGACTCCGTATCGTCATCAGCCCTATTGGGCCCCATCCGTAGTGGGGCTCATAACATTAATAGTGAAAAGTGGGTGTTACATAGTGAAAACTGTTTTTGTCATCGTTTTTCGGGGCGTTCTGTTTACCCTCTCTGTATATATTGACTTTGTATATTTACGTTAGTAAACCAATATGATATTATGTATTAATCGAGTACTCGCCAACTAGTCAAATTCAATACTTTTTTCGAACTGTCAACAACGACAATTTTCTATGAATTTTGTACGAGATTGTGTATTGTGACGTCACGTTTTTTTAGCGTCAAACAGTATGCTTATTTCTTAAAAATTTGCTGGAAAAATACTAAAATTAAATTGGTCATTAAATCAATTAATGAAAGTGTGATTATTTTTTTTATATTCTTTTTCTTGTATTGAACAGTCGAAATATTTTTTTTCTCCAATTTGTAACCGCGATGATGCCTGTAAACATTAATAAATTTTGTAAAGATCAATGTTTATCAATCATTTGACAAATAAGACTAGATATATTGTAAAAAAATTGGGTAAATATGCAATTGGAACGAAATGTAATGGAAAATAATATAGTGAAAATTTTTCTATGTTATGAATACTAGGGGCAAATCTCTTAACGCCGGACGGCACCTAACGCCGGACACTACTGTATTATCTCGATAACTTAAACCGCGAGCGATTCCATTTTTAGGGGGAAGTCTATAAGTGACAGACACCTAAGATTTTTAGTAAAAATTGAATCGCTCGCGTTATTAGTTATCGAGATAATACAAGTGTCCGGCGTTAGGTGCCGTCCGGCGTTATGGGACTTTCCCCTATTTATTATTTATCCATTTATGCACAACACACAGACAGTACACAGGAGAACATATATAGAAATAAATTGGAGGTACAAAGGAACTACATATTCCCGTAGGAATTTCTTCCTGCAGTCCTTCGACAGGATAAACAGTAAAAACTAAGACACTGTGTGTAACATGACATGAACAAAGAAAAAGAACAAAATTTACCAAAATTTAAGCCAATAGAAACTTAAAACATACATAACATCACGCCTTTTATCCTCGAAGGGGTAGGCAGAGGGTGCGCATTATACGACTGTACAATGTAACACCCACTTTTCACTATTTATGTTATGAGTCCCATGTAATAGGGGGTGAGCCTATTGCCATATACCGGGCACAGTTCCAGACTCCGTGCTACTACTGAGAATTTTTTAAAAACCCAGTAATACTTTGCCCGACCCACTCGGCCAACGAGGGAGAAACTTAAAACTACATACACAAAATGAAACCTGTTTCATAAACGAAAATGGTATTGTTCAAAAATATTTTATCTTACTTCTTCTAGGTGACAGTGTTCACAGACTCCATAAGGCGTCCATGTGTGATTAATGCCGTCACCGTCCCCATGTTATCGCAATCTCTCTCTCTTTCTCCCTCTCTCCCGTTCGCTAGTTGCCCCGCTCTCTTTCCCACTTCTCTCTCTCTCGATCGCCAGTTGACCGATAGCTGTCGCGCGGGAAGGGTGTGGCCCTCAGTGTCGTTCAGTGTTGTGTCCGATCAATCGCACGCGCCATTTTTTATTGTTTGTTGTTCAATATTCAATAATGCAGTTTACGCATAGTAACCGCAAGTACTTAGACATGTTAATGTGGTACATTAGAAGTGGCGAAAATGTATCTGCAGCTCGTCAGTGGTAGTGAGATTAGAAACGCGGACGAATTAAAAATAAGCATAATAAACGCGTTTGATATTATTAAAAGTGACAGAGACACATTATTGCGAGTGAAAAACAACGTAATACGTCGCGTCGTACAAACTTGTGCATCGAACAAAGTGGAAGACACTTCCAAGTTCCAGCATCTTCTGTAAATAAGGTAGACTCTTTGTTAATACTTAGGTATCTAGAGACGGGCATTTATTCCGATGAATACTTGTAAATGATAAATACCTAAGTAACTACCAACCTACCACCTAGTACTAGTACTACTAACTACCGAAGTATTGGTTTTTGGTTGAGTTATTATTAGTATTTACCTATTCAAAAAATTGACATAATTAATCATTGTAGCTGTGCTATTTTAATTATAAGCATATCAATTCAGTTAAATAACATAATCTAAACAGAGTCGTGTGGTCGTTTATTAAAATGAAACATTATTAAGTTCAGTAGTAATATAAGCGCGCGGTACCACGACACCTGCGTCAGCGCGGTCGCTCGGGGCTTCGTCGACGGCCTAGTACGCCGTACGGCGCGCATATTAGGCTGTTTACGTGTAACACAAATAGTGGAATAACTTTAGAACGGTAGCTTTTTGTTAAATTATTTTTTCGTGATTAATTATGGAATAAATGTTACAACAAAACCTTAGATTTCCTAGAGTTACTTTATTAACACCTTATATACAAGGTGTAGTTTTGAAACCGTAACATTTCCCGGGGGCATGTCACAGAAGTCATAAAGGTTCAATGTAAGACAAAGTTTCGGGCCAATAGTTAAAAATACGGCTATAACAAATCGTTTAAGTAGAGGTAGTATTTCAGAATAAGCGACAGCAATGTTTCTTATTGGAGTTTTAGGGAATTAGGAATAATAACAATTACGTGTTTGAGTTTGTGTGTGTTAAGCCGCGTTATAAAGCTAGTTACAAGACGGCGGCGTGTAGTTCGCACTTACAGATTTCGATAATTTACAGAAAAATGAAAAATATTTACCTACAACTTTTTTTTATTGATTCGGACTCAGAATCAATAGCCGAGTTACCTCCTAGAAAATGACGCGGAATTAAAACGACACCTTGTATATAAATAGATATTACTAGATTTCCGCCTGCGGCTTTACATGCCTATGTCATGTGTGCATACAAAAACATGCCTCATGAATCACTCTATCTATCAAAATAATCGCATCGAAGTCTGTTGCGTAATTTCAGAGATCTGAGCATACAAAAATAGTCTCAAAACATCGAAAATAAGGTCTATAATGCAGTTAGTGGAGACGCAGACTTTATTTGACTATGTTGTGAAGTGATAGTAGGAGGAACATGGTATGTTTCAGTTTAATAATATTATATTTAATTTCAGGTAACTCCTTTGGGCGAAGATTCAGCTATTTTAGAGTATTTAGAAGACCATATCAGACTACGGGAACTAATGGATGTTGAAAGTAAGTAATCACTTAATCTCCAATTCGCTTGTCAACCGTGGAGATTCTAGAGCTGCAGACATCCTACCTACCAGGCTACCATAGCCCCGACTCTATGCAGCAGTAGGAACGGGGTGGTCAGTAAGTGTCTGACACTCCCTGTCTC